CCCGGCCCCACCCGCTCCCGCGCTGGGGCCCGGTCGGGTCGGTCGCCGCCCCGCCGCCCCGGCCCTTCGTCCGTAGTCGTAGTAGTACAGTAGTACGTGAAGCGAGCGGCGAGTATCGTCGCCTCGTTCTGCTCTGCCGCCCACCGCTGTTGCGTCGCCCTCAGCCGGCGCCCGGCGCGCGCGCGCAGCCCGCGTTCACTTCATTCACGAGTGCCTGGCCGTACTCCGTGGCCCGCGACTGGGAGCGTCACGTGATACACGCTGCGCGGTTAGTGCCCCGCGTCTCCCCCCCCCCTCCCTTTCTCCGCCGCGAGCATTCGCCCTTTGCAACGAGACAACGCGACCCTTGACCCGCGCGACCGCGGCAACCGTATCTCCGAAAGGCACGGCGCGCGGCGCCCGCAAAGAACTCGAGCAGCTGGACTGCTGGCTGGACAAGAGTGTTGGCGTTGGCGGCCGGCGAGGATATTGCGCCAGGCGAGGCGAGCACAGGTATGTGGCCCGGCCGCTGGGAGCGCCTCATGGCCAAGACCAACTTACACTAGACAGGCGCAGTGTGAGGACCGGCCGCGACCGTCTGGCAGGGGACGATTCGTCGAGGATTGACTGCATGCAGGGGGCGCTGTAGCACAAATTGCCTGTACGGCCCAGGCGGCTTGGCTCACTAGATAAGGGGGCGGGGGGGAGGAGGCACTGCTTGCTTGCTTCGCCGCGCGGCTGGCCCTGGCCATGCTGGTAAACAGAGGGTCAACGCGCTGCATACAAGGCCCATCCGCGGTTCTGTTTTGATTTTTGTGGGGGGCCATGAAGCCCGCCCCCAGATGGAAAGCCGCCTGAAATGTATGAAATTCTCCATACAAAACTAACGTCTGAAGGCATACCCCCCCCCCTCCTCCTTACTCTGGTGAGTTACACCTGACCTGAATCCGCGCCTGCAGCAGCCTGAACGCACGGCTCGCTTGGCTCGCTTGGCTACGAGCGCTTTCCCAACGGCTCCAGATGCGGAGCCATCCCGCCACCCCCTCCTTCAGGCGACGCGGCGCGCGGTGGCCTAGGTGGGGGAGTCCGGGGAGGGGGTTGGGCGTAAATTATTCCAACGTGGTGGGGGGCGATCTGCCGCACTAGACTACTCGCGTCCCTGTCCTGGGGACCCGCCCTGCCACCTGCCGCGTGACCATGGGCGTCACTCGTCGACGAGTGCAGACAAAGCATTCTACGCTCCCTCCAGGATGTGAGAGTGGCTGTTGGGCGGGCCCCAACCGTACCGTTCTGTGCTTGTGCCAAGGTCACGACAGCACGGCATGCTGGGTTGCCTACTCGTTCTACCCGTAAGGCGCTGGGGCCCGCAACACTGTTGTATCGTAGCCCTGGCACTGTTACAGCGATAGCCATGCTCATTCAAATATTTGCGGGGAGCGCGCTTAGGGCAGCGGTGGCCACACATGCAGACGGTGCAGTCCGCCCTTCTGGCGATCGCCCCGCGGATCGACTCGCGGACGGCCTGCGGACGGAGAAGGGCCCGGCCGTGGCCGTGCTCGGGTCGGCAGTCGCCAGGGAGAAAGGGAGGAGTGTGGAGGTGCCAGGTGCCATTGTTACGTCTAAAAGAGTAACAATACAATACACACAAATTTAAGCAATCCATTTTTAGGCCCCGGTTAGGGGTGCCTATTGCTTTCGCCCGAAAGTTCATTCTTGACTGTGGCCCCTTATGGCGAAGCCAATCGTTCCTAAGACAAGTTAACATGAAATTTGAATAAAAAATACTACAGAAAATTAGATTTTTTTT